CCCCTGCGGACCAATTTTGAAAAAATAGAATTTCCGACCAGCTTCAAAAACTGGGGCAGTGAAGCAAGGAGCCAGCGATTTTCTTCGACTTTCGTTTCCCTCTCCATGCTGTTCACAGTAGTTGGTTTGCAGTCGTTTATTGAGGACTGCTTGATCGAGCGGTTAGTGGTAGAATGCTTACAAAAGAGGGCGTAACTCTAACATCAGGCGGGGCCGCGCCTGGTCTATCTAATCTGCTCAAGCAAGGGTCATACATTGCTGGGGGCCTAAGTCACATACTCATAATAGCCCAACTGTGTCTTGATGACACTCATAATACGATGAAGGTTCTGGAGGCATTCCAGAACACATGAAGGAAATATTGCGGTTGAATATAGAACACTGCCTGAAAAGCATATTGAAACTGGAGAAGATCCATCAAGAAGTTATGTTCAAAAAGCCACAAATTTGAAAAAATCTTTTTGACGATCGCTGCTGTTGGTGAGAAATCGGCTGAGGAACCCATTGTGAAAGTTTGCCTTCTTGCTAAATGAAGTCAGATTACTTTGGGGTCAGAAAAGATGTCGTTTGACCCGTTGCGAGCCTCCCCAATTTCAGTTATCTCCCAACAACGAATTCTTTTTTTTAGCGAGTGTAGAACAGTACATTTCATTTTTTTGTTATTGTTATACTAATCCGCAACTTACTCTGTCTTTGACGTAAACTGCTTGTCAATGCCTTTCCGTTGTTGTGCCTTATGCGAAACTCTCAACCTCAAACTTGGTACGTGTATCTCTTCTCAGATTCCCGAGGGCATTACGTAGCCACGGCGCACGTGAATCGCACGCCGTGGGAACCGAGCGCGGATGGGCCGGGGCGCGAGGTGCGCCCAACGGCGACCGTCGCATCCGCGACACAGTCTTCATCCGGGCAGTTGATTAGGCGGTCGGCGAAGGGTCGCAGACGCGGCTGCAGCAGCGACCGCGTACGTAGGAACTGTTGGCGGCGATCAGCTGTTTCCGGCCTGGTTTAGCCATTTTCTCCCTACTTTTCACTGTTTTTGGTTGCCTTCACAAGATAAACTATGGTTGAGATTCTCATCAATTTTTTCGAACAATTAAACACTTAAACAAACATTTGAACAAATACCTAAGAATCGCGAAAAAACTTCATTACAAACACAAAAAACGAGTTCACATCCAGATACACTTTATAGCGACAAAGCAACTGACCATGAGAGAAAAAATTGAAAATACAGTTAAAATTAGGGAGAAAATGGCTAAAACAGGCTGGAAACAGCTGATCGCTGCAGTCGTGACGCGCCGCAGCCGCGTCTTTAACCCCTTGACCGCCTAATCAACTGCCAGAATGACGACTGTACACGAAAAGTCAGCGTGGTGGGAAAGGTGCTTCTGGAAGTTACAAAGTGATCGTAGTACAGTAGCTGTCAGAAATGTATGAATCTGGTTTTTAGATCGTCACATCCTTTTATTTTTTTCCATGGCTCTCCATAGTATTGGGATCTTGAACTGAGTGCTCTCTCTTCCTTCAATGATCTTATTTTCCTTGGATGAAAATGGTAACGAAAGTTGAAAAAAAAACATTCTACATTCACCAGTTACCGCTCCTACTTTCGAAATTCCGGCCAGAATTCCGTTTTGTCTGGAAACAGGTCTCCAATGCTAGTTCGACATCCCTCCGTAGTAGCCAGCGCCAAAATCCCCAAATCACGTAATTTGCTAAAAACCTGACACTCGGGTTGGATCACTAAACACAACTACCACTCCAAAGGAAGCACAACAGTTGGACAACCGCCAAAAGCCGGAATACCGGAAGGCGAGTACCTGCCACTTATAGAAGGCAGAGAACCACACTTTTCGAGTGTGAGAGGCTAACCTCGAGGGCAACCTCGACGTAATCGATCGAAGACCATATCGATTGACTATAGCCAGCCTCGTACAGGGTGCCAATAGGATTTCGTAACGCTCGTCTGTACAGTTGGCAATATAGACTCGAGCTCCGATCCCATTGATTTCTAGCTATAGTCTTCACCACTGTGTTGTGGTTCTGACATTTCGCAATTTTGTCTGCGCGTTGAAAGGAAGCAGATCTTATTTCGGCGCTACACTAACCACAACATTTCAGAACAGATATGAGTGATCACGACATGCCCATGGAGGACACAGATATTGAGCGTCGGAACCAACCCAGTTCGATCAGATTGCTTCAATGAAAGCATCTCTAGATACCCTCGTCGGCACGGTTAAGGATCTAGCATGTAAAAATGCTCTTACAGGTACGGGTGTCTTGTGATACGATGTTAGATAAAATTCAAATCTT